TCAGACCTACGTGTGGCGATCAACGCGATCTCTATAACGCGACGCAATCTGGATTCGTATCGCGTCTTGAGACTCTGTACAGAAAAAGTGGAGCACTCTTATTTCGCAGACGGCGAACTTGTTTCGTCTGCCCAGTTCACTTGAATGTGCCCGCGGCTTTGGTGCTCGCAAATCCGAATCCTTCACCTGGCAGCCGCTGGAGGTCGTTAGTTACCACCGTGTTACAAACATTATCGAGTCTTGATTCGCAATAGTTCACCATAACGCCCCGGGTATGGGGGGGGGGGCGGGGGTTAGTGAGTGGTTCCGCCCGATACTCGGAACGATTGATATCGTTTTGAGGCGGCTGTGCGTTTTTTGACACCGCATTTTAAAGCGACGCGGTTATTTTTTTCGCGCTGGCAAGCGCTTGGCTCGTTAGTCCAGCCGCCACCGAACTCCGGCCGCTCCGTATTCCCCAGCGCCTCCCTCCCCCCCCCCCGTGGACGATCGTATCGTGCGTACCAATCTCGCTCATTCCCATGCAGATGGCATCGGCGAGTGGATCTGTAGGCATCGGAAGCTGCACCACAGGGGGGGGGGAGGAGGATGATGTGGGGAATGGGGCGCAAGGTCCAGGTATTCGGGACCCCGCTGCATCTGCTGTGGATGCGGCACAGAGGAGGAGTTTGGGAGGATATGTCTGCGAGTGTTTTCATAGCGTTTGTGTGTGTGTGTTTGTCACGTGTGCGTGTGTGGGTAGCTGCTGGTCGCTAACAGCCCTTGCAAATTGTAGAGGCTATGCGGGGGAACTTTGTCTTTGTGTGGGTACACTGGAAATGTGGGGAGTGGTCGTGCAGTGGCTATGCTGCGAACCCGACGACCCGAGTTCGATTCCCGCTCTCGGACACCAACGCCAGCGACGATTATCTGAACCGGTCCTGGGCCTCCCCTAGCTCGACTCGGCCTCCAATGAGTACTCGGTGCGGTGTGTAAACATCGTTTTTGAGCATTTGTGTGGCGCGTGTGCGTTTGTCACGTGTGCGTTTGTCACGTGTGCGTCTTTGTCTTTGCGTGCGTGTGTTTCTGTTTTGTGGTTTAGCGATGCATCGCCACGCGTAATGCCAAGTCTCATGAGCCGAGTTTGTTTGTCTGTCCAGATTTCGAAATTGAAATATGATGTTATTTATTTAATATTTTGACAATGCCAGCGATAATACGCACACACACTTGCACGCGCACAATTCTCTACACGCAATCATTTGCGTGCCTCGAGATATGCATTTACAAATACAATTACACTTGTAGTCATACACACACACACACACGAAGACCTCTATGTATAGCGAGAGCTGTTAGGGCCGGCACGGCACCACACGCCTTTGTCTCTCCAGCGGCGATGTTTACACACCGCACCAGGTACCCATTTGAGGCTGAGTCAACCTCGGAGGAGGCCCAGGACCGGTTCAGATAACCGTCACCGGTTCGACGGGTTCGTTGCAAACTACCGCTCCCCCATAGCCACGTACGCACACATACACGGACACTTTGATAAACGCGCACAGTTGCATATTGCACGTACACATGCACGCTCGCAACATGAATGTGCCGTGGCCTGAAAATAACGAGCGAGCACTGGAAATGTTTTCCCTTCGCCAAATGCTTAAAACGTGGACAAGAGCTTATGATGGAAATGTCATCGTCGCGCTCGAGATGCACGCGCTTGGCCTTCCGACGGATTTGCTCTTCCCGCGGGAAATCTCTGCAGCTGGGATTATTCTCTAGCCTGTTAACCATTTTGGGGTTTTTTTTAAAGGGGAGGGGTGGGGGGGGGGATGTGGGGGGAGGTAGTGGGGGGGGGGGTTGTAGGGGGGTAGTGGGGGGATGGGGGATGGGGTGCAGAGGGGAGGGGCGCGAGAGTGGGTGGTCGTTTCAAGAGCGGCTCGCTACAGTTTCTGCCACAGGTTTTGTTCAAAAGCCATCGTACACTTTGTACGATGCAAATAAAAATAGATCCCCCTTATAGCGTAAAACAGACTGTTGGGGCAAGTGCTGTTAGCGAGCACCTGTGAAGGCCGGCAGGGCACACGAGTGGGTGGGTGGCGAACACCACGTCCGGCCGCCTTTGTCTCCCCAGTGGCGACGTTTACACACCGCACCGAGTCCTCATTTGAGGCCGAGTCAACGTAGGGGAGGAGGCGCAGTACCGGTTCAGATACTCGCCACTTGTGTTCGCCGTGAGCGGGAATGGAACTCGGGTCGTTGGGTTCGTAGCGCAGCGCGCTAACCGCAACACCGCCGCTCCCCACCTTTGTCCGATGCACACACACAGCGAGACAAAGCCAACGGGCGGCCCCGCATGGCAAGTGTCGTTAGCGAGCGCCTGTGAAGGCCGGCGCGGCACACAAGGGTGCGGTGCGTGTCAAGTGCCACACCCTGCCGCCTTTGTCTCCCCAAGTGTCAATGTTCACGCACCACACCCGGTACTCACGTGTCGGGCTGAGTGGGACTAGGGGAGGCCCAGTACCGGTTCAGACATAACGTCGCTCATGCTGGCCAGTGAGCAATGCCACTCCCCGCTAAGATGCTAATGCACACGTGTACATACGCATGCACGTGCGTATATCCACGTATGCACCCAACACAAAAGCTGTAGTTATATGTTGACAAGTGTAGATGTGGCCTCAGTCTGTCAGAATGGAAGTGAAACAGAGGTGAATGTGTCGAGATCGGAGAGCACCTCAGGCCGGGTAACAAGTCCGTTAGGAATCACGTGATGCTGTTGGCTGGCTCCGATTGGCCATCGTGCTTTGTGTGAATGGAGTTCCGCAAGGTGGTGACCGACCCCATACACAGCTGGTGGCTATGAGATGTTAACTACCTCGCCTGGTGTGCAGGAGGTTGTGGGTTCGATCCCGACCCTGACGCCTGCTGTATATTTGGAGTTTGTGTGTCTCTCTCTCCCCGTGGTTGCATGGATATTTCTCCGGGTCCTCCGGTTTTTCCCTCCACATTTAGAATCAACGTGCGTTTAGAGTATCTGGCTGCTATAAATGTCCACGTGATAATAAGCTACTTCGTTGAGCTATCATTTGTCATAGCCAGCTCTCTTCTGAAAAAGAGCTATGTAGCTCAGTGAGCCTTCACTGGTAAAATAAATAATAGTTTAGTTTCTAGTTTGATCGTTTCTAGTTAACTTTATTTCTTTGGCAATGGACGATACTTTCGTGGTCCCCCGAATCAACAACGCAGATTGTCTCTAAGCAGGGGAAGCTTCACAAACCCCTCTTTTGGAACGGCCATTTCTCTCGCTAACCCCGGCGCCTTTGCCCTCCGGCCTTGGAACGCGAGGACACGCGCCTGTGGCCGTGAGCTCCACCAAAACGCGCGCCGTTCCCTTGCCGCACAGCCACGCGAGGTGGGAAACACTCCTCCGCCGTGGTCGGGGTTTAAACGTCATCCAAGGGGCAGTTTTTTTAGTTTTTTTCGGGAATGTTGGGGGGGGGAGACGGAATGGGACATTTGCCTGCTGGTCTCACGCAGCCCACGTTGAGATCCACAATTAAACGGCAGCAGGGCGCAGCCAGGCCTTACGCTCTCGGCTGCAAATGCGAGGAAGCGTGCAGCAGCAGCAGCAGCAGCCTTGTATAACGCAGTCGGTGGCTGAGGCGGGTGAATTCAATTGAAGCTTCTCTTGAATGTTGCCAGCGAGGCGTGGAGCACGCCTGACCCCTAGTGGTCAAGTTCTCATTCACAGCTCCGTCTACGACAGGGTCGCCTGCAAACTCTCCCCAGTCCTCGCAACCGACCACCACGCTACGTCTTTTCCACGTTTATCAATCTCTCTCTAACCCCCCACCCCTCCCCCGTTCAAGGAGTAACAGCTCAACCCGAGCTATTAATTGCTTTGGCGTTCGCGTCGTCTTTGCACCGTTCAGCCTTTTGGCGGCCTCTGGTGTCTGTGGCACCGGTGAGACAAAGCCACAAAAGTGTCTGTCTCTGGTGTAGGACAATTGGGTTTCAAAGTGCATAGATTGTCAAAGGAGATTTGTTTTGCATTTTTACCACAAGTGCAGTCTCGATGCCTTGTGATAGGTGCTTCTTTGGTGTTTAAACATCTTAACACCTCTGGCATTTATGCCAGACTGGATGGGTAAAGCAATGTTTTTGTTGTAATTCTATAACTTGATAAAGGAAAAGAATGTGACAAACATTACAAACGAGGTGGTCACAACGGGCTCGATTTAATGTCAGTTGTTGAATTTAATAATTTCCACATAATTGTGTCAAATTAAACTGCGGAGGTTTTTTTTTTACGGAAGTACTCGAGACGTTATAAATACTTAGAGGTTTATTTGCTTAAACGAAATATTTTATTTATTTGATTTGCTTAAATAACAAATGAGTGCATATTTTTACGTAAATACTGTGTCCTACTTCCATGTTCTCACATGACACCGTACTTATAAATACAAAGGTTCCTTGAGCCTTAATTGATCGTCACGTGCAGTGCTTTTGTTTGCGAGCACCTCTACATTTGGAACTTGCTTGGTTGTTGTTGCCGCGCCGACGTGGTTGGCACACGGGACTTTCGATCCAGAGGGTGCCGCTTCGACCCCATTTCCCGGCGCGACGGTTGAGACGGCGGTGGCGGCGGCGAGTTTCTCAAATCCCCCCCAGGATCTGTCCACTCCGGCCAGCAGTGTAAAATGGGTCCAGCGCAGTCGATTGGCATGTCAAGTGGTGGGCTACTCGCACCGCTTCCAAGATGTCCGGCCAGCGTGGAGAAGTCGGGAAAAAACCCTCTTTAGAGGGGTTCTTGAGAGCTCCCTCTCATCTCGTGGAGGCCCAGTGGCATCAACTAGACATTGCTGCGCCAGCGTCGGTAACAGAGATGAGCGCCGCTGCCCCAACACCGCTTTGACCTGAACGCACTTCCACTTTGAGACTTTATTAAACCATTTGCACGCGTTGCCCGTGTCCGTGCGTGTGTTGCCCCGTGCGCTTCCATGCTTCGCCAGGGCGGGCCCCTTCGGGACGACGCGGCTGAGATCCACGCGACCCTCGCGGCGCTCGCGGGCAGCATGGCCGGCCCCGCTCCTCCGGCCGGCGCCAGCAAGATCAGCCCCACGCCCGACTCCTACAGAGGTGAGCGCGGGCGCCTCGCCCACAAAGTCTCCCCTGCGTAGCTCGCCAGCGCCGTACGTACGCCGGAGGTCGCAATCGGGTACCCGATACCCGTACCCTACCCGATACCCGGCTACCCGTACCCAGCCGGGTACGGGTACCCGTTTGCGACCCTGGTGCGGCCAGGTATGGATACGAGTAAGGAATCAAAACCCGTTTGCGACCTCTGACGTACGCCTCCTCTCGCCAACCGACCAGAGCAAGGCGTGAGGAGGCGCGGGGTGACGGGTGGTGGCCCGAGCCTCCTTGGCCGTTGGCCGAACTCGGCAGGTGAACTGCAGCCGCGAGCGGAACGGCGCCAGAGCGACGAGCGAATCCCCCGTTTGTCGTTTTGTTGTTTTTCTCCGTCCCCTGCCCTCGCCTCGCTCCGCGGTGCGCCCAGTGCTGGCAGCGCCCCCCGCGGCGGGCAAGGACGACTCCCAGGGGGGTCCCCCTCCGGGGCTCGTGGCGAGCCTCAGCACCATCCTGTCCAGCGTCGTCGACGCGGAGCGGAACGAGAACGGCGGAGAGGAGGAGAGCGACCTCATGGACGACCGCGGCTCGGAGGATGACCACAAGAACGACTCGCGCAGCAGCCGGACCAGGTGGAGCTCGGGGGGAGGAGGTCTCCTTGAGAGGCGACCTCGCCCACGCGCCTGTTGATTGCTCGGCGAGGTGGCCCGAAGATATCGTAGCCAAGTTAATCTAAAACGCGCGTTTCTCAAATGCGCCCACCACGATCGCGCGAACTCCAGAAGCGGGATCTTTGTTTAGACCGGAGGAATCCGATGAGCTATGAAGCTCTTTTTCACAGGTGTCCAGTAGGGATGGGTCGGCAATTTACAACAACAAACAGTCCAAAGACACGATAGAAATAGAGAAATAAATATGATGCATACAAGTATAAATTGCACAAGTACATGAATTCCTGCCGATTTTTCAACACCAAATGCAGGCTGTTGGGTCTTACCTGCTAAAAGAAATAGTTTCATAGCTTTAAAAAACACGGTTTAGTTTTCATAGACTGCGTTCCTTGTCAAGCGCAAAAACGCAGCTGCCATCGCCGTACGATCTCCGTCGCTCACAGTCGCACGCTCACCCCGACCCTCACTTCGCCCCCCCGCGATCGCTCGCCGCTCACCCGGACCTCCGTGTCCGTGCCCCCTCCTCCTCCTCCTCTCGTCGCGTAGCAACCACGAGGACGACGACGAGGACCTGACGCCCGAGCAGAAGGTGGAGCGCGAGCGCGACCGGCGCATGGCGAACAACGCGCGCGAGCGTCTGCGCGTGCGCGACATCAACGAGGCCTTCAAGGAGCTGGGCCGCATGGTGCAGCTGCACCTCAACAGCGAGAAGCCGCAGACCAAGCTGCTCGTGCTGCACCAGGCGGTCGCCGTCATACTAAGCCTCGAGCAGCAAGTGCGAGGTGTGGACCACCACTGCCTCCTCTGCAACCTCCACGACCACCACCACCTCCTCCTCCACAACCACTACCTCTTCTACAACCTCTACAACCACCATCACCACCACTACCTCCTCCACAACCACCACCTCCACCATCACCACCGCTACCTCCTCCACAACCACTACCTCCACCACCACCACTGCCTCCTCTACAACCTCCACGCCCACCATCACCACCGCTACCTCCTCCACAACCTCCACAACCACCACCCCACCACTACCACCACCACTACCTCCTCCACAACCACCACCTCCACCACCACCACCACTACCTCCTCCACAACCACCACCTCCACCATCACCACCACTACCTCCTCCCCAACCACTACCTCCACCACCACCACTGCCTCCTCTACAAACTCCACGACCACCGCTACCTCCTCCACAACCTCCACAACCACCATCACCACTACCTCCACTACCACCACTACCTGCTCCACAACCACCGCCTTCACCATCACCACCACCACTACCTCCTCCACAACTTCCACAACCACCATCACCACCACTACCTCCTCCACAACCACCATCACCACTACCACCACGACCTCCACTACCACCACTACCTCCTCCACAACCACCACTACCTCCTCCACAACCACCGCCTCCACCACTACCACCACTACCACCTCCACAACCACCATCACCACTACCACCTCACCATCACCACTACCACCGTCGCCACCACCACCTCAGTGACCTCCTCCACAATCACCTCAACACCTCCACCACCACCACATCCACCGTCGCCACCACCACAACCATCACCTTCACCACCAGTTCCACAACCACCACCACCACCAACATATCCACCACGGCTTGGCCTTGTGTGTTGTAGTCTACGCATTATAAAGCACGCCGGAGAGCACGACGCACCCCAAATGTGTGTCCGGTGTCAGTAAAGCTATACAAATCTGGTCACGCTCGCACACGCACACACACACACGCGCACGCGTACCGTATTATGAGACGCACTGCAAACTGCTAAATACAACAGTGAGGAACGTGTGCACGTTGTAGTCCGGAGAACACAAAACGTGACTTTTTGTTTGTTTGTTTTTCCCTTTCCCCGCGCCGCCACCGCAGAGCGCAACCTGAACCCGAAGGCGGCCTGCCTCAAGCGGCGAGAAGAGGAGAAGGTGTCGGGGATGGGGGGGGGCGGCGGTGGGGTCGGCGGCGAGCCGACTCACCCCGGCCTCAACGACCAGAACCCCCTGGGCCAGCTCTGAAGCCGCCGCCAGGTGAGCGCGCGGTGCCGTGGGATGTCGCCTCGCTAGACCCCTGTAGAGCCCTCATGGGTTTCAAGTCACCCTGTCTGACCCCGCGATTGAACCGCGTTCTCGGGCGCGGCGAGTTGGCGGTTCCCGCGGTCCCGGTCACCAACAACCGCGCAGGGAATCGGCGCGCAAAAATGTGGCTTTATTCCACTTCGTGAGAGGGTGCAATGCCGCGAATTCTGATCTTTGCTTCGGTGCAGTTAACATCTTTGGGCTTTTTCTTCGACCGTCAGGCAAATCTTTGCAACGCATTTATGTCTTTACGTTTAGTTTCGCGCGCGCATATTTTGCTTATATTAGTGTCCTTGCACTCTAAAAAAAGCATAGGCTGCCCCCCCCCCCTATGCAAAGCGGATGCCCCACACTGACATTCGTTTAAATTCATTAATTCATTCGAATAAAATAAAAATGTTATAAATGGGCCACTTGGGTTTTTAGAGAGAGAGAGAAAAAAAAGTTTTTTTTCGACGGTTCATAATTTTTATATAAACATATTTTACACTTTAAAATGCAATCGTACTTTTAGGTGCGACCCACCTCACGCCCTCCTTATTTTCGTGGCCTCTGCACGAATTTCTGGAGGATTTTTTTCTGGCCGTGAATCTCCCTCGTATTTAATCGTGACAAAATTGTTAACTTACGTTTTTTACATTATATGTTTTTCGAGACGTGTGGAAGTAACTGTGGCCATGTTTGCGTTTTGTTTTTCCCTTTTCAGATGGCACTGCCAACCAGTTCTAACCGATGCCACTCTGAAAGTTTGCCAAACTTCACAAATGGATGTCTTTAGTGTGCAAAACGCCACTGACCTATTTCCGTATTAATATAATAACATGTTTTTTAACGTAAGCAAAAGGGAAAAAGGGGGTGGGTGGCGTGCGGGTGGGTGGATGGGGGGGGGGAAACAAATGGGAGAAATTTTAAAACAAATGATTTACAAAAGTTAAAAGTGGGACAAAAGTATCCAGCAAAAACTTTCAACAACATATCAAGAGCCTACGGCAGAGGGGGGATACCAGATCTGGCAAGGATGTCGACGGTCGGCGGAAAGGGGAATGGCATCGCGACTTAAACCAATAACGATAGACCCACCAACCACCACGATGATGACAACGACGACCACGACCACGACGACAAAGGGATAAAACACAAAAGCAACAGCATCCGCACTCTTTAGTGTGGACAATTTCATCGTGCCTAAACCATGTTTGCTAATTAACGTTTAAAAAAAAAAGAAAGAAAAAGTCGACAAGATATATTTATTTATTACAACTCAAAATGAAAAAAAAGACTAAAAAAAATTTACAAGTAGCAAAACCGTTTTTTAAAACTATTTTGGATAATGTTGTTGTTATTGTTGTTGTGCAGACTACAAACGTATTTTATCCAAGCATTCCTTGGGTATCGGACGTTGTCTTAAGGTTTAACAGACACAGTGCTTGTTTCGGGTGGTAGCCGATGGTTTTGATAATGATGGTGGTGGCTGTGCGTGTGTGCGCGCGAGTGCGTGAGCGAGTGCGTGAGTGAGTGCGTGTGTGCGTGCCCGAGTACTCGTGTGCGTGCGTGCGTTCCGCGAGCGCTCGCCTCGTGCCACGTGTTTGGTTTCGGAACCACTCCAGAGCCCCGCCGCCCGGTGGGCTGACTTGGTCAAAACGCCACTCTGGGGAGGAATTCGAACGAAACCTCCCCCCACGGTTCACGCTGTCATCATCCACGCGACCCGAGCGCCGTTTTCTTCAATCTGCTGAACTACGTTACGCGTGCTCCCTTTTGTTTGTTTTTCTTTATTCTCTCTGCGGTTGAGGCGGTCGCTGGAATCGAACGTCGTCTCTCTTGCAAAAGCCCGATGCCCCCCACCCCCCCCCCTGAGTTTGGACGCAACCGCGCGAGAACGACGCACCCCGCGAAAGCGACGGGCGCTAAACTGATGGGCGCGAGGGAATTGGCGGCGTGGATTAAAGGGCGGCGCAGGCCAGCGTGTGCGCAGAGCTTGTGCCGGAGACGACTCTGCCCCCGGCGTTGGGCGGCACGGCAAGAATCTGGCAAACCGGCCGACTGAGATTTTGTTTGCTGTCTTTCAACGAAGCCGCGTGAGTCTTGCCCGCCGGTGGTTTTCGTAGTTTGGGATTAATTTTTTTACAACCGTTTTGTTTTTTGGCAGTTAATTCTTAACATTTGGAATTGGACTGTTGACACCAGCATGCAAACAAATGTCACAGGGTGCTCTCTGATAGGTTCCTGCAAGGAACTAAAGGGGTGGCTCAAGTGGGAAGTAATGAAACCCCAGCGGTGAGCGGTGCTGTAGCCGCCTTACAGGATTTAAGGCCTACCGCGCGATTCGACGGGTTTGCTTCGTGCCTAGCCGGACGTAGTGCGCAAGAAAAACAAACAAAAAACATCGAAGCGGGCGAATCTTTTATTTTCCGTTTCTGTACGCACGCGCGTGCGTAAAGTGTACCTTTTACACGGTAACTGGGCTTGTTCTGCGGAGGTGAATGAGGGCAACGCTTATCCCCCCCGGCCACTCGGCACGGCTCGCTGAGTAGCGCTCGGCACCGGTTCGAGCCGTCTCCCTGCTTTCAGAGTTCGACGCTGAAATACCGCAGAGTCGATGAAAAAGCCTTTCCGTCATTCGTTGACTCGCTACTTTTACAAACGGTTACTTTTAAACCTTTTAAAGTTTTTTTATATCACTGTTGTCTTGATTTCAAACCTTAGGCCATGACTCCCTTGTCTTCTTCCTGTATTTTACGTTTTCTTGATCTACAATTTAAAGTGGCTATGGAGCGGACATGACCCATGGTCTCGTTGTATGGGAAGGCCTTTTTTAGTTTGTGGCCATTTATGATTTTATTTGTAATCATGAATGCAACGTCTCGTGTTTGAGTTGGAGCTTCCACCTCTAAAAAAAAGTGATAGGCCGCAAACTTCGGGAATCGTTAATTTTAAAGTTAGTTTGTACTTTAAAAAATTTCTCGGCTGCGTTGCCTGATGTCAAGAATCGAATGAAGAATGTTCGTTTGGTTGAACTTGGCGATAGAGAAGCACAGGCCTGCAACATGCTGGGACAATAACGCAGTGAGGTGTAGCCGAGCATCTTCTACCGTATCTTGCACGGTAAACCTGGTGCAAATGAAGCGCAAATAATCAACAGCATAATGATTATCATAATCGTTGATAGTATAATCACAATCTTCATCATTGCCAAAATTAGAAGTCATCCTCGGCATTTGCTCAGTTATCATCCTTGCCGTTGTGGTTGTGTCCACCGTAGTTCGGCAGACCTTGGTTCAATTGACGGATTGTTTGGCTTTTATAGTTGTTTGATAAAATCAAACGCAAAACTAGGTTCATCCGTCTTTTGAGCAAGTCGCAAGACGCAAAACCACTGTGCCCGGTACCCACTCGTGATTTCTGCGTAGGAGCTCAAGATTCAAATCCCAGGGGGTCTCACCAGTGCCGGCTCGTGCGAAAGCCAGGAAGCAATGCCAGGACCTTTCCCACCGTTGAAGACATTTTGGGGTTTGCAACGTTTCCACTTTGGTGTGTCAAAGCGATGGAGACCCAGGGGTCATCCGCCGGTCAAAGCAGTCGATTGACGCCGCGCCTCGCCAACGCTGCCAGCCCCGTGACCAGATCGCCGCGGCCTGCTTGCCCGGTGGACATGCAGCAGCGGCGCTTCCCCCCAATAAAATGTAATCTGAGCACTGGAGACGTTTGAAAAGACGCAAACGGGAGAAACGTAGTTTGTCGGCACGCATCCCTTTGTCACGACCACCAGGGAGCGAGGCTTTAGTTGTGGCCATGTGCTATCCCCTAAAGCCTCGCGACGCGCCGTGTCAAGCCGGCCGTCTGACGAGGGTGCTGAAATGGCGCCGCCCGCCGCTGGAGGTCGTCGCGTGGCCGATATTCCCGCTTCTTCCTGAATTTGCGGCTAATCACTTTTTTTTTTCGCACTGCTGTTCTGTCCAGTTCCAGCGCCTTACGTCATCCATTAACCTCCGAGCAACGGTCAAGGCAATGGGATCGAAAAAGGGATAGCCAAAATATGATGAATAGGGTACATTTTATCGGATGCTACGGTGTTTTTTTCTTTTGACGCAATGCCAGTGCTCCAGTCGATGTTTTCAATTAAGGAGACGAAAATCACAAGACACATATCACACCGGCTAATCAAGGCCCTGCCAATGCGCACGTGTGCGTTACCTGTGGGTTTCATTTTTTGTTATTTCGATTTACAATAATGTTTATAAATGAATATTTGTTTTCTACAAAGTTGAAGCTCCCCCTGCCCGCTGTCTATTGCAACCACGACGGCCGTCGTCAACGTTGCGAGTAGTTTTTGAGAAGCAAAAAGAAAACGAGTTGTTGTGAATAACGTTTGTGCGTGATAAGCCTCAGTGCCCTTTCCGAGCCAAGTTTAGAGAACGCTGTCATTTGCCAAGCTTCAACACCTTGCGATTGAAGTTGTTTGACTTATCCATGATGTGTTTTCTGACACCTGTGTCGAATTATCGAGTTGTTTTTTTAAGGTTCGTGTGTGTGGGGGGGCGGGGGGCGGGTGAGGGGTTTGTTTTATTTGTTGATGGGTTTGGAGCAGACTCCCGGTCGGATTTGGTGGCCTCGGGGAGCTGATGAGCATGGGAAGGGACACGCACATGCGTGTGTGTTGCCGTTCATAGACGGTGCCTCCCGGCGTGTTGCTGGCGACCCTGGAGGCCCCCCCTCCCTGGGCGTTTTGTTAACCCTGCTCAGAGTTCACCTGGTTAGAGTTCACCTGCTCAGAGTTCACCTGCTCAGAGTTCACCTGCTTGGAGTTCTCCTCTGTCCCAGTGTTAGGCGGAAGCAATTAGCAGCATCCTCTCTCTACATTTCATTATTAACCACGTCGTTTCACTTTACACAATTACAACTGTACGTACATTCTGTGCGTACGTTTATTTTTTCTTCTGAATATAGAATCCAGTGGATCGATGTATACACCCGCACAGCTTAGAACATTTAAATTGTGCCCTACGTCTGTAATTGGCGCAGATGGTTCGGGCTTTTCAGAACGCACCCAGCGTTATAGTCGGTGCGTCGTCATCGTCAACATTTCAGCCAACACACTGGCGTTTGTGCGAGGCTTATGCGTCCGGTCGCACGGTTTACATCGAGTGTGTGCATCGGAATAGGGGCGGTGAGGGGTGGGTGGTAGGTGGAACGATTTATCGCATGCCGCCGTGGCGATTTTAAAAATGGCAGCAAATTCAGGGTAACAATTTTATTCAAGGTTCAACCGTTTTTATCATTGTCTCGCGTTGCAGTAAAATGGCAGCGCCGCCTCTCCAAGTGGCCGCAGGGCATTGACGTGAAATCTTTACACACGGCGAGAGCAAGTTTCGGAGCGTACATTCTTGCATGCGTCATCACGTGCTGCTTGCACCGTGAGCTTGAGCGCAGACCTAGGTCGATCCCTAAATGCATTGCTTCTAGATGACAACAAAGACACAGATCCCCCGTGTAGCCTTAACAGACCTTTTGGGCAAGTGCTGTTCGCGAGTAGCCACTTATGAAAACCTACACGGCACACGAGGGGGTGGGATGGCCAGCACCACGCCCGGCCGCCTTTGTCTCCCCAGTGGTAATGTTTACACATCGCACCAGGTACTCATTTGAGTCTGATTCGACCTAGTGGAGGCCCAGGACCGGTTCAGATAATCGTCACCAGTGCTGGCCGTGAGCGGGAATCGAACTCGCGTCGCCAGGTTCGTCGCGCAGCGTAGCGCTAACCGCTGCACTCCCGCTCCGACATGACAACGCACAGACACACACCCACACGCCCACACACGGTGACAGCCGTGCATTGTATGACATTGTCCACGAAGCTGGTGCACAGGTTGTCTTGTAGACCACACACACCGACCGTTGAGATGGCACGAATCCTCAAAGTTGGGCGCGAGCAAGCGCGTATCGTGCATACGTCTCGCGTGCTCATTTTTTATTCCGTCAAAAACAACTCCTTGCTCGTCTCGACCAAATTCTTTCCCCGTTGTTACAGCCGCACAAAAACGGTTGTTTACGTGAACCGACTCTAATCGGCCGAATGTGGTGTTGAAATTCAAGTCGTGAAAAGTCTTAAACCACTGGTGAGCCGCGGATGCATAGCTCGGCAACTGATCAATATGTCGGCACGTATAAGTGATAATAATACTCTCCGTGTAAAAGTGACAATCCTATCGGGTAGGGAGGGGGGGGAGGGCGAGTGACGGGGAATTTTTGGCATGAAGCTGCCACGTTGCCTCAACCCAAAAACAAAAGTGGACCCGTTGTACTGGCTACGAAAACCCGTGTCAAGTTGCCGATTTGGTTGTGTATGCAATGTGACGTTACCTTTACCCGATCAGTTTAGGAAGATGTTAAACGTGGTGGTTTTATAATTGTATATCTTTGCGATGCTACGTGGTTTTCAAGTCCATGTCTTATCTAATGCAATCATGTTACGTTTCTACGATACATTACAGAGCTGCCAACTTTTCCAATGTAATTGTGTTTGCTTTTGTTTTTTTGGTGGTGGGGGGGGGGGTCGATGTCCTTAACATAGATTTGTATCGTCACTGGGCTCCTTGTTAAAGCGCAAGCTGGGATAGGCTGACTGGAGCTTCGGCAGGACGACGACACACTCACGTTCAGCCCCAACGTTGGAGACTGACCCCCCCCCCTCTCCCCGGTAGGACGCTTAAGATTCAGTTCCAGTGCTCGTGTGCGGGTTTGTCCCCCCTATCGTCCAAATTATGGATTTTACCCCCCCCCCCCCGCATCAAAGCTGACGACAAATCGGTGTTTTTGAGCCAACGGTCGGCGCATGCCCCACTAATTGTCACTTCCATTTTGGCAGCTGTGTTGCATGTGCGCCGAGGCATTACCCGCGCGTGCCATATCCAGTCTCATATTAATTTGTGTCCAAGCAGGCTGGACGTTGAGTGCACTGAATGAGCATGCAAATTACGTACATTAATTTTTTCATCCTAAATTTTAATATCCATGCGCACGCAATGCAACGGAGGCACACGACACACATTGGTTTCTGGAAGCCTTGGAAACAGCAACAGAAACGTCGCTCCATCCAAACCGATCGACCGAATCGGAAGCATCACTATCACAATCTTTAATCGCACGACAGCGTCCCCCACTCGCACACCCGGCGGCGCTCAATCGGCCCTTTGGCGTTAGAGGTTCACAACTATGCCGAGTTTAAGTGAGTGCTTTGCCATTGAGTGCGAGTCTGAGCGCTCCCTTCAATATTCCGATTGCAAGGCTCGCTGTGAACCGTGACGCTCCGTGGATTTGCTATGCGCGGCGCTGCCCGTTCGACGAGATAGCAGAACCCCCTTCGATTGACCGGCTTCTCCAAACGCACTCTCCCGCAGCAGCAGCAGCAGCAGAGCAGCAGTTGGGCGCATTCACACCGTAATAGTGTCCACGTGCTTCTTTTTGTTGCGGGTACAGCAGCTTTATGCAGACGTGGGATCAATGAAGGCGTCGTGGGCGATAAATGACCGCGTGAATGGAAGAAAAAAAACCCGTTTCGTCGCGACTGGGTGTTTTGGCGCAACGTTTAATTTGTCAAAGTCGTCGGCGCGTGGTTTTTTTTTGTGTGACATCGATAAGATTCCTCGTGTCTGTGCAAAGTTTTGTTGTTGTTGTCGTCATCTTTATTTTTTTGGGGTGCAGGAAATGAAATGTACCGATATCGAAATGAACCCTGATCGCTTCCAAATGAAACGGGCTTCCACCAGGGGTGTAGCCAGAGGAAGAAGGGCTCGGGGCACTTGGCCTCCTCCTCCCCTTCGTCAATTACCAGTGTAGTGTTCTTAACCCGCCCCCTCTTTACGTGCAACCTCAAGCCTAGGGTGCAACCCCCCAGCCTTTGCGTTTGCAGCGGGAAGCGCGTTTCCCTACTGCGCAGCCAAGGCGCTGTGCACAACACACTGTGGCCATGGCAGGCTAAATACAAGCGGGATAATTAGCGAACTGCAGAGCCATCGTAAAGCAGTGCTCTGCAGGGGGGGGGGGAATTTCACTATTATTCAAATATTGTCAATAAAACTAGTCTGACATTTCACTTGGGGAAGTTGAGAGGGCATTTCCAGTCATGTGACCACAAGTGGCCAGGAGCAGGGCTCACCACGAGTGAGGCCTCCCAAACAAGCGGTGCCTTGAACAAACTGCTTCTTGGCGCGTGATGCAGTGAACAGCGTCTCAGTGGGGAGGGGGGGGGGACCGCTGCTTCTGGCTGCAAATGCAGCCCGCGTGCTTCCCAGTGTTCCGCCATTTCTCTAGATTAGGTGAATGGGCCTGAACAAAAAACAACGGTTTTTACTTTGTCAAAAATTTCTGAACTTTATGCTTTTTTTGGGACCCTGAACGATGTGAGACAATGTGGTTGTACGCATTCGGAGACGCACAGCAGTACAATTCAAACGTTTTGATTTAGCCACGGACACGGGATGTGCATACCTGTTAACTCTCATACATACAATCTCTGTGTATGCACGGTGCCTGTATATATGTACACGCAAGTTGTAAAGTAAACATTTGCCCCACCGTATTTACTGTATTATATACAGTATTTTAAATGTGTGCACGTGTGTCGGTTTCCCCGTGCTCTTAAAAGTTCCCCCGAGTTGTAGGACAATTGGAACGAATTCCACATTTTTTGAATGACCCGGGAGAGGGGGGACCCAGTCTTTTCCAAAAGCACAATCACTGTTGACTTCCCACCAAAACTGTGCAGCCTCACACCGCGTGGATTCACCACTCACTCTACCGACCCCCGGACAGACAGAGAGAGATGATGATTGATCCGATTGAATTGGGTCTAGCCACGACAGGGGGTTCAAACCGCGTGGTCGAGACCGCCGTTCTCCCTCCGACCCGCGGCTGCTTGAGAAGACGCGGGCATTGCACGGCGTAGCCGTTGGTCCCTGAAGCTTGGCAACCCCTCCACTCCACCCTGGCTACAGCCCTGGCCTCAACCCCCCCCCCCCCCCCCCCCCCCCCCCCAACATTTGGAGTAGGCGATGCCGTCAGGGTTTATCCGCTCGCGACGCGGCCGTCCTCCGGGAAGTGGCTCTCTCGTTCTCTCTGGGCGGCAGCAGCAGCAGCAGCAGCAGCGATCGTCTCCGTTTAAACGCCGCTCATCGCCGCACTGCAGCGGCGCTGGGTGATCCGTCAGAACAAAACCGCAACTTACAAAAACCCCGTTGGGCCATTTGGTAGCTGCAACAATTTAACTTTTTTTGTGTTCTCTCTCGATATATACTGTATATTTTATTTGTTGAACACAGCATCATTGTTTTTTTGTTTTGACGGGGAGATTTTTTTGTACACCCCTAAAGCAATACACGTTGCGATGTATTAAACCGAAAGGGCCTGGGTTTTATGGTCTTTCTTGTATACGGCGATGGAAACTTAACGCGCTGAACACCCCCGCGTAGAGAAACACATCGACATGAGCGAAGAGGATCACGTTCTAACAATGGTTAATGTTCTTTTCAAGATATCCTGTTTTGTTCATGCAAAAAAACAAACAGCTGCTGTGGCCTTTGGTTATTTTATTTTCGTCTCCATTTCAGTATTTGTGGACACAACTGACACGTGCATTTTGAGAAAGGGGTGGCCAGCGGTATTTTGAAAACAAGCAAAAAAATTGGGGAGGATTGTATACGGAGGAGGAGGTGGTGACGACGACGACGATGATGACGACGTTTTTTAAAAAAAAATCACAGTTCCTAAAATGATCGTGCGCCACTCGCACGGCCGCGCGGGGTTTTTTCGCGCGACCGAGTTTTGAAAGTTGTACATTGCTTTTCATTTATAACGAGAAACGAAATGCTTTTTTTTGTTGGGGACTTATTTTCCCCGCGTAGCTAGCCTTTCTAGCTTTCTTTTTTTTATATATAATGTCCCTTTTAACCTTGTAATAATTATGATGAAAGGAAAATGTCGAGACTGTGGAAGGGGAAACATGGATACAACTTTTTTTCGTCACAGATTGTTATAACCATTACCCTTTATAGTTTTGAAAAAAAATATCTTAATAAGTAAAAAAAGAAAAATACAAAAAAAATGTTACTTTTATTTTACTATGATAGCTAGGAATCCTAGGTATGGTTTGGCAATAGCATTATGGTAAACTACCAAACTGTATTGTATGCATTATCATTTACGAAAGAAGAATAAAATAAAGCAATGGTGTGCTGTTTTTAGGCTAATGTAGCTTTAGTGCCTACGGATGTAGTTTTTCGTTTCAGATTCATACTGTGTGCTCCAAAATATACGATGCTTACTCGGACACGACAGAGTGGCATACAATAGAAGCCTTAAGTTCTGTGTAGGGACAATCTGGGTCCCGAAGTGGTGGCGTTTATGAAACACCTATCCGGTATTACACGGCCGTCCTGAATTACCGTACAACCTATCTTCCATTCGTTCTTCGTTTTTATTATAATTATATATTTTTAAATTGTTATTTTCTTTTTTTTCATTTCTTTTTTTGGCTACAGTTGCATCAACTGTCATGTGTATATAACATTGGTAGCAATAAATGTGCAGTCATTTTTTTCTAAACCTGAAGTCTGTCTTCTGTGTGTGTGCGTGCGTGCATGCTCTGCGGGGGAGCGGTGGCAGCGGTTAGTCCACTCGCGTTACAAATCCGGCGACCCGAGTTCGATTCCCGCTCGTGACTAATAAGAGTGACGGCAAATATTTTAACCGGTCCTGAGGGTGGGACAAAGGCAGCCGGGCATGGTGATGGTCACCCACCCCCTGGTGTGCCCTTCCTGCTTTAATAGGTACTCGCTAGTAGCAATTGCCCAAAAAGTCTGTTAAGGCTATACGGTGAATCTTTGTAAAGACAGCAATGTATACATAGCACCCCAGATTCCTGCCCCGTGTACACCGATGGCGCTTGATAATTGAACGTGCTGTCGCGCGAGTTGAACCAACCTAAATTGAGCCTCGTGTACAATATTCAACCTGCTATTGGCAATGTTATGCCTGTTGGAGAGGAATTTGGGAGTATGCACGTTGAACTTCTTTCGCACCGTACGTAGCCAACCGTGTTAATCGGAGGTGCGGGAGGACACCAAGAATAGCATAGAGGGCGTACGGGGAGCCTAGGTGACTCGGCTGACACTACCGGGCCGAACGTGGGTCACGACTGCGGTAGCCACTGGGAAAACGGCGTGGCCCAAACCCAGAGTCTCGGCAGGCCCTCGCCTCGGGACATTGACGTGGCTACTTGGACCAGTGAGCCATTCAAGCCGCATCATTCGTTGTGTCTAACATTCTTAAAATGTATTTCCACGGGAAAACCTCACTGAGACTCCTGGCAAAGTGTTGCAATTGGGGTGGCGATGTTGCTACGCATTTCAAACATTCATTCGATTTCAGCTTTTTTTCCTTTTCAAATTTGCTCAATTTTGGGCCGCGGCGCCGCGAAACACTGGCCCCTAATCTTTAAAAACGTCACGGAACGTACAAATGTTGCATATTTACATTGACGGCGAGTACGCCCGCCGTGTTGCCCCAGGGCGGCCTTGGTGCTCGCAGTGCGAAGCTCCGCGACTATCGTGGTCGCCCGTACGAGACGTGGGACGACTGTGGGCGTTCATTCGTACGCGCAGGCCTGCAGGCACTCCTCCAGCTCCTTGACCATGTGACGGTGGAAGGCGAGCTGCCCCTCCAGGAAGAGGGCGAGGGCTCGCTTGAAGATCCGCTCGCCGGCTCTCGACACCTCCAGCTCCTCCGCCATGCACACGCACAGCACCGTGTTGGCTCGGTGGTTTGCCGCCCTGCCCCATGCACGGATTCACACGCAAACGTTTTGACTTCTCCCTTTGGGAACGGCTGAGCAACGACGACGACGACTTCACACGCTGTTGGTCAAGCGGAGACAACGGCGTCAGGAGCAGCGGAGTGTATCGCCGTGACGTCTCCGTATTTGTGGATGGGACATTGTCGTTATCCGTCGATCGGTCTGTTCTGGATGACCACAGTCGCGCACTGATACCGGAGAGTTTTTAATTTTCCGTTTGTGTATCAGGTATCCGCGTCTGCCGCCAAGGTTTGTGCAGTGGATGGGATTTAGGTGGGACCATGTGGAAGATCGAACCCAGGGGATATTCAACGAGGTGTTTGCGAGTTCTTTCGAACTCCATTCAGCTCTCCAAGCTCCACCCGGGTTGAATTCGCAAACATTCCACTGCACTCCTCTGAGTCTACAGTTCCCGTCCGTCCGTCCGTTTGTAACGATGAGAACGAGGTCGTCTGAAACGTGTGCATGCTCGACGTACCACTGCTTCTAAAAAAAAACATGCATCACTCTTTTTATTGTGTTTTTAAATCGCGTTTGCCAAGAACAAAGAACAGGCCCGATGACCCCCGATAGCGCCAAGCAGCCAGCAACAAACAGAACTACCAGCAAGCAGCACTACCAGCAAGCAGCACTACCAAGAACTTTGTATGGGGGATGGGGGGGAAGAGACGATGGGGGTAAATTGCAAAATGGAGCAGTGCGGGGGGGGGGGAAGCAGAAAGAGAGAAGTGTTGTGACTTGGAGCGTGGCCAGCGAGGGTGTGGGCGAGTTGAGTGAGTGGGTGGGGTGGTGAGTGAGTGGTTGGGTTGGTGAGTGGGGTGGTGAGTGGCTGGTTTGGTGAGTGGGTTGATGAGTAAGTAGGTTGGTGAGTAGGGTGAGTGAGTGAGTGAGTGGGGTGGTGAGTGGGGTCAGTGAGTGAGTGGGTTGGTGAGCAAGCGGGTTGGTGTGTGGGTTGGTGAGTGGGGTGTTTGTGTGGGTTTGTGACTGAGTGGGTTGGTGAGTGGGGTGGTGAGTGAGTGCATGGGTGTGTGGGTTGGTGAGTGAGCGGGTTGGTGAGTGGAGTGTGTAGGTTGGTGAGTGAGTCGGTTGGTGAGTGGGTGGGTTGGTGAGTGTGTGGGTTGGTGAGTGGGTGGGTTGGTGTGTGCGTTGGTGAGTGTGTGGGTTGGTGAGTGGGTGGGTTGGTGAGTGAGTGGGTATACCAGACGAGGCAAGGTACGGGAGTGATGGTGGTGGAGGTGACGATGAAGTGTGGTGTGGAGGCAAAGGTGCACTCCGCTACCTGCCGGCCGCACGCCGCCTCTGTTCGTCCTTGGCCCGTGACAGCGCGCCTGCCAGAGACAATGACAAAGGTCACCCGCATAGCCTCCGTAGACTTTTGAGGCAAGCGCTGTTAATTTTTGTGGGGTCGTAACGCAGTGCACCAATCGCTACACTTGTCACACACAATCCCGTTTTTAGTCTCGCAGATGGGAAGGTTGACCCAAGATGCACGTGGAATGGGACTACGACTACTCACCACTTGGCTCGACGCCTCGGGCTCATATTTTAATGTATGTTGAACTTCTTTTGCACCGTACACAATCAACCGTGCTAATTGGAGGTGCCGGGGAAGGACAATAAACTTAAACACAAAAACAGTGGTTCCAAAGAAGTGAGTTTGTCAATCTAGATGATGAAAAGTGCATAACTCCAGTGGCTTCTTAATATCGGAAGGGAAGAGCGTTCCAGACGGCCACAGCAGCGCATCCGAAAGCGCCGCGCGACGCGGTGACCGCTGCCTTCGTTCGATGGCGAGCAGCCAAAAGCCGCCGGCTGCTACGAGGATGAGCGGAGTTCGCGTGACGATGGTTCACGCTCCTTGACGAGATCAGCGAGGTGATCGTGGTTCGTTTGTGGCGAGCGCATCGCGTGTAACGAGCATGGCTTTATAACGCTGCATTTGTCCGGCAACGAGAAGGCAATGCCGCTCAGCAAGCACTGGGCGGACACGGTCGGATCTTGCAGTGCCTGTCACGTGCTCAAGAATTCTGTACACGCAAGATTTAAATGCAATAAATATTCTCAACGATGTAATTAATTTTAAACTCAACACATTCATCAATAACCCTTTGTGGCCTTAAGAGGAAACACGTATAATAATCGCTGTTTTGGGCATTGCACATGAAAACCCATTGCCAAAATGTGACCTATTTTTTAATATATTTTTGTTTTACTTCGAAGGCCACGGTGTGGTCGATAAAGTGTTGGGAGTTGTTTTGTTCTCCGTACTCGTGTACACCGTGACCGACGCAGCGTCGCCAAATTATTTGTTGAATCTTCTCAATCAAAAGAGCCACCCCCGAGACTCGGTTGAGCGGTGCGATCTTGCAGTGGCCCCGTCGCGACACGCGCCACACGATTTTGTACGCAAGCCGCAGCTTTCATGTCCAGGGGGGAGAGACCTCAAACCTCGCCCCAGCGCGACGCCACCACCCGCCCGCCCCGGTCTCCCAGAAAGGCCTCACTGTTGTGCAGCTTGAGGAGCTCGGGGAGGCCGCAGGTCAGGCCGCCGTAGAAGCTCACGGCCTCGTTCAGCGGCTCCGTGTCGGCTCTGGCGTGCGCGGTCGCCGCTAGCCCCGCCGCCCGGATGGCGTTTCCTGCTTGGACCAGCGCGTTGCCCAGCGGGCCGAGCCCGCCACCTCCAGCGCCACCTCCAGCGTCACCTCCGGCGGCGGCGGGTGGACCCGGCAGCGTGGCCAGCGCTGAGAAGGTGGCGCCCAGCTGGTTTAGCGCCAGCGCCAGGCGCTCGTAGGAGCGGCGGCCACCGTCGCGCCACTGCGACGCCGCCTGCCACGTGGCCTGGCGAAGCTCGGCCATGCTGCTCTCCGCGTTGACGTGGAACAGCTGTGAGCCGGGGCAGAGAGCGAGGGGCGACGTTCCGGTCATTGTCCCTTCGTCGTTACCGTCAACGTTACGCATCTCAATCTTGATTTTGATATTGGAGGAATTCGATGAGCTGTAAAGCTTTTTTGTTGTTTTTGCAGATGTCCGGCACGGGGCGGGTCAGAAAGTTTCACCGACAAACAATAAAAAAACAATAGCGGTGGCAAGTATTGGAAAGGTAAAGCGGTGTCGGATGAAGGCCTCCCTCCCACTCTCCGTTGTTGCCTTCCCGCACGGTCCCGCAAAGTCGTTTGTTTGAAATTACACAATCGGTCAACAGCTCAGTTTAACACGCAGTAGTCAGCTTTCACGATCAATGTTATCCATAAGAGTTTTTTTGGTTTTGGGTTAGATCGCAAAAAATATGAATGTGTCATTAAAACACCGCCACCACCCGACACAGCCAATAAGTAAACCCACAACATTTACAATTCAAGTGCCATGACGTTTTCGCCGGTTTCGCAGGCGACAGCCAGATGAGGCTGGTTGTAATTAATCACATTCACTGCCGATGATTTTATCGAACATGAACGATTACTCGGGTTAACAAGATAAAACAGGCCGCCTGGCTTGGCTTTCTGCTGCTGGTGCTGCTGTGCGTGCGTCTGCCAGAGGTCGCAAACGGGTTTTGATTCCTTACCCGTACCCGTACACGGCCGCACCAGGGTCGCAAACGGGTACCCGTACCCGGCCGTACCCGTACCCTACCCGTACCCGGCCGGGTATCGGGTAGGGTACGGGTATCTGGTACCTGATTGCGACCTCTGGGATGAAGCCATGTTGCAGGCGTGGGTGGGTTGATTCTAGGAACTTGAATTGTGAGAAGAGACAAGACGTTGGGAAATGAGTGACAAACGGTGACTCACCGGTGACTCACGGTCTACCCGTACCCGGCCGCACCAGGGTCGCAAACGGCTACCCGTACCCGGCCGGGTACGGGTAGCCGGGTACCGGGTAGGGTACGGGTATGGGGTACCCGGTTGCGACCTCTGGTGGCGTCTACTTGCGCTGCGCGACCTTCATGGACTTGCCCAGCTCCTCCGCGTGCTGCAGGTCGGCGGAGCATCGGACGTCGACGCCGAGGTAGAAGGTGTGGCCCACGTGGCGGTCTCGCTCGGCGCGTCTCTTGCCGCCCTTCCACTCCTCCACGTTGTCGCCGCACGTCAAGAAGTGCCGCAAGACGTCGCACCTGCGGGCACGGTCGGGGGTGGGAGTGGTGGTTTTTTAAAATTTTAACTTGACACGCTTTTTATTATTATTTTTATTGCACGCTTTTATTTAACTCTAGATTTGAAGCTTTCGTGACTGCAAGGATTCATACGCTTAGGTTTTTTTTGGTAAAGTCACGTAGGTAAAAAAGAAATAATAAAAATAAATAATGAATATTGTAGAAATTATAATAGAAATAAAATAATAAATCACGACGTTTCGGAGGCAACACAAGCTTCCTTCATCAGGTGTAAAAAGGCACAGCAAAATAACTACAATAACTAATATAGCTAGTTATTTTGCTGTGGCTTTTTACACCTGATGACGGAGACTTGTGTTGCCTCCGAAACGTCGTGATTTTTTATTTTATTTTTTAAATTATTTTCTTATTTATTTTTATTTAACTCACTTCGTCTGTTGTATCCTCAAAAAAGAAATCTTGTAACTGAATTTGTACACACTTCCCGATGTGCTATCGACTGCAAACTTCGTATAGCTATGTCATACTCATGACAACACGATATTCTATCATTGAAAATAAAATATATATTTTTAAACAATATTTTAACGGCTCTAATTGCCCACGCTCAACTAACGTTGCCTGTAAATCACCACGTGGTCCCTGACGTCACGGCAAGCCTCGGGGAGCCACGCCCAGGGGCGGGGGATGTGGAAGGAGGGGAGGGGCGAAGGGGGCAGGGGGAGGGGCAGCTCGGACAGTACATTTGATTAAAGCGCGTTTTTTTATAAAAGTATTTTTAAATATGTTATTATGAACTCACTCTGTTGTTCTATCCTCAAATCTTGTAACTCAATTTTTACCCACTTCCCAATGTGGTATCGACTGCAAATTTGGTACACTTATGTCATACTGATGACAATACTATATTCTATCATAAAAAATAAACATTCAAAAAAAAATGTTATGTTATGTTTCGGCCTGGGTCTAATTGTCCACGTTCAACTGACGTTGGCTGTAATTGCCCACGGTCACTTACGTTATGGCAAGCTTCGGAGCCACTTCCTGGAGTCGTGGAGTTCTTCCATTACTAGTACATTTCATTAAAGCGTGTTTTTAAAAAAAATTAGGGCCCCTTTATAACATAAGCCACAGGCCCCGCACCAGCTTCATCCGGCACTGCCACCACCGCTCCGTGTCTCACCCGGCGAGCGCGGGGTGGCCCGTGACGTGCTCCAGCCACAGCGAGAGCTCGCCCACGCGTCGCCGCACGCACTCGGGCGCGTAGCGCGCCGCGGCGGGCAGCGTCCCCGGCAGCCGCGGCACCACCACTGCGGGGAACTTCTCCTCGAGGCGCGCCCGCAGCCACGTGAACTGCTTGTAGCGGCGCCACACGGACGAGGGGGCCGGCGAGTCGGCCGCTGCCGCCGCCGACGACGACGTGAGCTCGTAGGCCAGGTAGCTCTTGATGCCGCCGAACTTGCTGCGCTTGGAGGGCGCGCTGACGGCGCACGTGAAGCGCGCGGGGTCATCCAGCCACTCGGGCGTCCCGTGGGCTCCGCCGATTGTCGCGACGCAGCGGCCGAGGTCCGTCGCCGCCTGAAGATGAGGTGCGGTGGGGGGGGGATGTTGGGCCAGGTGAGAAGGCGAGAGACAAGGATAGCCTCATGAGCTTGAGTGACCGGGGCCAGAAACAACAACGCAAAGTGATAACGTAACCACGGAGCGTGGCCTTGAAGCGAATAGAAATCGGAGAGGAGGAGGAGAAAATGACCGAGCAGAAAGAACCTGCGGTCAAAACTGCCGCATCATCGTCATCATCATCTTGACTCAAAGCTTTCGTGACTGCAGGAATTCATATTTTTGGGTCTTTCGGTAAAGTCACGTACATAGGTTCAATCTATTTACGTGACTTTACCGAAAGACGAAAGAATATCATCGTCATCGCCACGCGTCTCACCTCTGTCGCTGCCGCCCCATCACAATCCCTGACCCCATCGCCATTCCTGACCTTGGCTGCTACCCTCGTCCATCGTCCGGGTAGCGGCGGCGGCGGCGCATCGTCGCGATCGTTCGACCGCAGGAAGGTATCGGCCATTGCGCCCATGGCCGTCGTGCCCATCATCTCCACGTTCTGGTATTGTGCGGAGGGGAGAGCGTCGTCGCCGCTGGAGAAGGAAGAGTCGCCGCTGTCGAACGAAGAAGCCACGGACGTGGGCGCTTTGAGCGAAGTTTGGTGGCAGAAGGAGACGGAGGAGTAGGCGATGGGAGGGCCCGGGCACTCGTACACGGTCGTTGTAGGGAGCTGCGCGGAGCGAACCGTACACGCAAGAGTGAGCAATGTCTACCTAGTACCCCGGATTCCTGCCCCATGTACACCGATGTTGCTTGATAAGTGAACTTGTGGTCGCGCGAGTCGAACCAACCTAAATTGAGCCTCGTGTACAATATTCAACATGCTGTTGGCAATGTTATGCCTATTGGAGAGGGATTCGGGAGCATGTACGTGTCTGCACGTTGAACTTCTTTCGCACCGTACGTAGCCAACCGTGATGCTGATCGAAGGTGTGGGGCAGAAGGACGACAACACGAACACACAAAAAGCTGTTCTAAAGAAATGAGTTTGTCAATCTAGATGATGATTATTTAAAAGAGCACAGTTCCAGTGGCTTCGTAATATCGGAGGGAAGAGCGTTCCAGACGGACGCAGAAGCGCATCTGAAAGCGCCGCGCGACGCGGTGACGGCCGCTTTTGTTCGATGCGAGGATGAGTGGAGTTCGCATGGTGATTTATGCTCCGTAACGAGGTCAGCAAGGTGATCGTGGTTCATTTGTGGCAAGCACTTTGTATGTCATAAGTACGACCTCATTAATGCATTCGTCCGGCAATGGGAAGGCAATGCCGCTCATCAAGCACTGGGCGGACACGGGGCCCATCACGGCACGTGCTCAAGAATTCTGTACACGCAAGATTTCAGTGCACAAATCTTCTCAACCATATATACATTTTTGTAAATCAACACATTTATAAATAACGCGTTGTGGCCTTAAGAAGAAACATATAATCGCCCACATTTTGGACAATGGCACTTCGTCATTGCACATAAAATACCACTGCCAAAATATGACATGTTTAATTCTTTGTTACTTTTAAGGCCACAGTGTTGTTGATAAAAGTGTAAATTTTGACTTAAAACTTTCGTGACTGCGGGAATTCGTATTCTATGGTTCTTTCGGTAAAGTCACGTAGATAGAAAAAATAATAACAATAAAAGAATAAAAATGAAAAGAAAGTTTAATTTTTTTTTTAATATCACGACGTTTCGAACGCAACAGAAGCAATCATCTTCTGATGGCGATTGCTTGTGTTGTGATCTAAACGTGATATTTATTTTTTTTTTTATTCACTTTATTTTATTGTTATTATTTTTTCTATCTACGTGACTTTACCGAAAGAACCATAGAATTATGAAAATATTTTTTGTTGTTTAGATCTTTAGTGGCTCGTGTTTACCATTGCCGACACAGCATCGCCAAATGATTTGTTGAATGATTCTCAATCAAAGATCCCCCCCCCCCCCCCCTAGACTCGCTTAGCCTTCCCGCCCATTAGGACACCCATCATTAAGCCATCGACGCGATGCACGCGGTGTCAGGACACAAGGCGGGGGGCCGGTGATTCCCTTGAGATTGACAGGCGGTGACGAAAGGTTTGGCGGGCGGGCTTGGAGGCGGTGTGTGTTCGCTTCATAAACAGCGACCGGTTTTTGTCAGACACGTGGAAGGCATGGGAATTCAACATCCACGATATAGGTTTTTGTTTGTTTGTTAGATCGCGTAAATATGAATGTTGAATAAATATGAATTCGTTGCAGCAGCCCCCTTTGCCCACGTCAGCAATTGTTTCTTGCTGTGGTTGTCCCACCTGATGACGGACGCTTGTGTTGCGCCCGAAACGTCGTGGTTTATTTTATTTTATACCTACGTGACTTTACCGAAAGAACCAAGGGGTAAATATGAATGTGTCGTTAAACCTGTCACCACCCGACACACAGCCAATTAGTAAGGTTTGTCACGTGAGCAAAACATGCCAATTCGTTAGTATTCTTGGTTCTTTCGGTAAAGTCACGTAGAAGGGAAATAATAAAATAATACCAATATAACAATAAAAATTCTCACGACGTTTCGACTGCAACACAAGCAATCATCATCAGGTGTGAAATCCACAGCAAGAAATTTCTATGAATCCCTGTGTGACTTTACCGAAAAAACCAAAGAATAATTCCTGCAGTCACGAAAGCTCCAAAATTAAGATTGAACCACTTCTACGGGGAAGTTCCAAGTTTACCTTTTTCTCTCTCTCTGGGTTTCTTGTTCTCTCTCTCTGCCTGTATATTTAGTGTAATTTTCTCTGTCTACACTCGTTTTGTATCGTTCTTAGGTTCTGCTCTGTCTGTGTGTCTCCGTTCCTCTTTTTTATGTTTTGTCTTTCTTTGGAATTTTCACACTTAAATTCTAACTTAGCAATCTTTGAAATACGTAATCGACCAGGCAATGCGTTAATTGTGTGTTGACCGACTCTCTGTGTCGTTTTACATAACATTTCGATACTTTGCTAGGTTATTTAATTTAGTGTGTTCTGTCTCCCTCTAAGCCTGCTTACCTTACTCCCCTCCCTTCGTACTCATTGACATGTAAATGTTTTCCCTACCCCCTCCCTCTCTCTGCCTCCGCCCCCCTCTCTCTATTTAAGGCCACCCCACAGAGACGATCACCTCTCTCTGTACCTGGGTTGCTCTCTCTATGTATCTTGGTGATATCTGTCTGCTTATATGTCTGTCTATAGTTTTCTGGTTATATTCTATGTCGCTATTTCATTATACCTGATGATGATTGCTTGTGTTGCAATCGAAACGTCGTATGCTATTATTTAATTTATTATTTTATTTTTATACGTGACTTTACCGAAAAAACCAAAGAATAATTCCTGCAGTCACGAAAGCTCCAAAATTAAGAAGATAAGTGTTGTGGGTTTACTCTCCGACACACCGGTGTGTGTGCTGAACTAGTAACGAGTTGGCAAACCTTACTAATGGAGATGGCGGGTTTAACAACACATTTATAATAATTGGTTCTTTACCCTTCTATCTGGCAACAAAACTAACAGTTTTGTTGCCAGATAGAAGGGTAAAGAACCAATTATCATATTTTTACTGGCAAATGAGGTCCCCATAGAACACATTTATATTTACTCGATCTCACCAAAGAAAAACCCTCTTAATGATCATATTGGTCACGAAAGCCTACTGCGTGTTTAACAACTCAACATTGTGGCGCACTGCTCAGCCGACGGGTGGCATGCTTGTTGCATACATCGGGCCAAAGAGAAACGCCGTCGCGTTCGCACGGATTTGCCACGCAGTACTCGCCGTATCGTAATGCTCATGATGAGCATCGTGGTGGAGGTGGTGGAGGTGGTTGTGTCGTGGCGTCTGCTGCTGTGTCGTGTCCTCTGGGCTCGGGAGCAGGACCCCTGCCGGGCTCAAGTTGCGGTAGTTGACCAGGCTGTACATCATGGACGGGCACGGGGGAAGAGCCGTCGCCTCGCTCTGCTCCGGATCTTCCTCGAAGGTGCTGAAAGCCTGCCTGGGGAAGTGGCCATCCGCTGTGGCGTTCCAAACATTCCGGGAGCTCTCTGCAGAACGCGAGTCCTTTGACATGCTGTCAGACAACAACAATAACAACAACACGTGCACACGCGCTTGTGAATAAACGCAGCGAACAGAAACCAAAAATCGCAGCGAAGAAGCGGTTTTGACTGCTTCTTTTATGGAACGAAAATCACCACCACCTCCCCCCCCCCCTAAAAACAATATTTTGTCCCCCGCAATCAAAACTGCCAAAAGAGGATGCGGTTTCTGGTTTAAAATGGTAAAACAAGTTAAACAGCGACTTTTGAGCACCAAATTCACATTTGGCGAAATTCAGAAGCCCTTCTCTTTAATGAGCACGCAGTCGGCCACATGCTGGTGATGGGAGCGGGGGGGACACCCTAGTTTTGTATAACGCAGCTCCACGTGAATCCGACGGGCGTGAAAGCTGATTGGCACCCCCAGACCCACAGACCTGCTCAGTTTGTCGTCCTTCTCCCGCGTGTAGTAGCTACAACACGTGTAGTAGCTATAACACGTGTAGTAGCTACAACACGTGTAGTAGCTACAACACGTGTAGTAGCTACAACACGTGTAGTAGCTACAACACGTGTAGTAGCTACAACACGTGTAGTAGCTACAACACGTGTACTACACGTGTACAACACGTGTAGTAGCTGCAACACGTGTAGTAGCTACAACACTTCGATTTAAAGCTTTCGTGACTGCAAGGATTCATCTTCTTGGTTCTTTCGGTAAAGTCACGTAGAAGGGAAGTAATAAAATAATAAAAATGAAACATAATAAAACAATTCTCACGACGTTTCGGCCACAACGCAAGCAGCCGTCCTCAGGCGAAGAATGAAGCACCACCAAGCTTGGAGCGTATATTTAAGCTGGGTTAGAGGGGGGGAGGTGGGAAGAAGAGCGCCTAAACAAAATAATTTGCATATCAAGAGGAATTCAGCATATGGAAAATGCGTAGGAGGTGGGCGGGGGGGGTTCCAAATCAATACTATGCCCGTGCATTATGCAGGATTAGCAGCATCAAAAAGGGGGGGGGGGGAGGGGGTAGCATTAACAAAGGAAAGGAATGTTAATAGTATGTAGCTGCAGTTACTAAACAACCACGTAAAAAACTAAAGTATAAACTGCATAACAAACTAAAGTATAAACTACATAGCATCATCAGTATACTTACTATACTCTACAATAAGTTGAGTTACTAACAGTAAGTAATACATAAAAAATGTCTACGTTGTAAAAAAATATATAATATGCTTCCATCTAAACTTTATTCTCTTAAATCACACGCGTCTATACCGTACTATATACTGCCATAGGCAAACCCAACATTAAATTACATACTGTATTGCTATAAACCACCCTATACTTTATACATTTTAATATAACACTATGTATTATTCTACCCACCCTAATGTGTATCAAAATGGTTTATTACGTCCTTCCAGTGATTGCTAAGCCAGAATCCATCTTCTCGGTTAAAATTGTCTCTGTGTTTGTATATGTGGATCGCCTCATGAACGAATCTCTCATGATAGCCAGATGGCTTGCAGAGAACCTCTGTCTTGGAGAAGTCAATGTCATGTGAGCCCACTGAGTTGTAACAGTGATCTGCCACGGCTGAGGTGTTTGTCCTACCGTGTTTCAGGTCAGCTTTATGTTCACGGATGCGGTCCGAGACATGTCGTTTGGTTTCCCCAATGTAACTGCTACCACAGAGGCAACTTAGTTTGTAGACACCAGGGTACTGTATATCTGGAACCACATCTTTTACAGACGGTACCAGATCACGGATTTTATGTACTGTGTTGAATCGGACCTGGATCTTGTGTTTAATCAGGATTTTGGAGATCTTTTTTGTGACCCCAGCAATGTAGGGTAAGGTGATGGTCTTGAAAGGCTCCTCAACAGGATCCTTCTTGATGGTTGGAGTGATGGCTTTGCGGATTGTGTAGTCGGAGTAACCATTAGCCTTAAGAGCTTGGCGTACGTGTTTGAGTTCACTGGAAATGTGTTCATGGTCGGAGATGCATTGGGCTCTATGATATAGAGTCTTGATGAGGGAATTCTTCTGGGATGGATGGTGGTGGGAATCCGGTTTTAGATAAGCATCCGTGTGGGTGGCTTTCCTGTAGACAGAGTGGCTCATTGAACCATCAGGTCTCCTTTTGATTAGGACATCCAAAAAGGGTAGCTTGCCATCATTTTCGACTTCCATGGTGAATCTGATGGCTGGGTGTATGGAATTGATGTGGTCGAGAA